CAGAGTCTCCTGGGGTCCCTCGCCTGCCTTGCCAGCTGGTTGCAGAGTCCAGAAACCCCTGGAAAAGTCTCTGCCTTTGGGTATTCCCCACCATGTCCTGGGGGCACACTGTGTGTGTGTGTGTGTGTGTGTGTGTGTGTGTGTGTGAGGTGGGTGGTGGCTGAACCAGGATCTGAGGTTCCCAGGCTCAGGTGCCCGTGAGTGGTCCTGGCCTCCTCTCCAAGGTCCTTGTGACCCCCCTGCTCTCCTACCCATCACTCCCCACCTGGCCTGCAAGGTACTGAGAAAATCATATTTATTAAGGGTTTTGACATCCCCTATTGCCATATATAAAATGCCTACCATTAAACCTTCTTCCCCTGGGGATCAGGACCCTGAGACAGAACTGCTCCCCAGTACTGGCCTCCGGGTGGGCTTCCGGAGCCCCACAGTCCCCTTCCTCGCATGCCTTGCTGCAGAAAGTGCCACTGCCCTGTGTGGCCTCAGGGAGCAGGTGGGGGACATGGCGGTCCCAGTTGCCAACCTCACAGGTTACGGATACCCACCTGCATCCACCTCGGCCGAGCTGGCCTTCATGAGGACAGAGTTCCCATCTTGGGGGTGATCTCCCTGGGAGAGGGCATATGGGGGGCACGAATCATGCAGGCGACTCCGGCGCCGAGACCGATGGCGCCTGGGGCCCACGATCTCCAGGCACCTCTTGCCCACCAGGTAGGCGACCTCACTGAGGTTGAGCAGGATGCAGATGACAGCTGTGGCCACCATGAAGTAGGTGAAGACCCTCTTCTCCGTGGGTCGGGAGATGTAGCAGTCCACAGTGTGGGGGCAGGGCGCCTGGGAGCAGGCCACCACGCGGGGCATGTCGTAATGCCCCTGGTAGAGGCGGTGGAAGGTGTAGAGGAAGCCGGAGTCCACGGCGGCCTTGAAGATGAGGCTCAGCAAGTACGTCCACCAGAGCCCACCCCGCTTCTTGCTTGGATTGTCATACAGGGACGGGGCGTTGGGCCCGTGCTTCAGGCGGTGCCTCCGCTCCCGCTCCTCCCGGTAGGCCACGTGCATGACCACCAGCAGCGAGGGGCACGTGACCAGGATGAGCTGCAGGGCCCAGAGGCGCACGTGGGACACGGGGAAGAACTCGTCATAGCAGACGTTTGGGCAGCCCGGCTGCTTGGTGTTGCAGACGAAGTCCTTCTGCTCATCGTCCCACACGTCCTCCGCCGCCACCACGAACACCAGCACCCGGAAGATGAACACCACCGACAGCCAGATGCGGCCGAGCGCCGTGGAGTACTTGTTGACCCCACTCAGGAGGCCCTGCAGGGATGCCCAGTTCATGCTGGTGGTTCCTCAGGCGGACGGTGCACACCTGCGTGCACCCGCGCAGGCCGGGGAGAACCTGGAAATGGGTGCCCTTTATTAGAGATGTGATCGGCCAAACTGTTTCACAACCACTGTGTCATCATGTCCTCACTCGCAATGACTTGGCGGGGTAGGGATTGCCACTGTCCCCATTTCACAGGGAGCAGGCCAAGGCCCAGAGAGGCACGAGGCCTCACAGCTGGAAGTGGCAGAGCTGGTCTTGAACTTCTGTCTTCCAGTTCCAAGATCAGGGGATATTTTATTCTATAAAGTAACAGGTACGTGTGAGGGACAATCGTCCTGCATGGATGTGCCTGCCAACCTCTGACTCCTTTCCGCCCTGTGGGTCGCCGACTTCTAAAGAAGCAGCAAGAAGGTGCGGATTGACTGGTCCACTATGCCATAGGCTCCAGGGCTGGACCAGGGCAGGAGGGGAGGGATGTGTATCTTTATCCTCCACTTTCCTCCAACAGGAGCCAGGCCCTGAGCTGGGTGCCTTCCTATCAGCCTCTTAGGCCAGTGATGGCGAACCTTTTGAGCTCGGCGTGTCAGCATTTTGAAAAACCCTAACTTAACTCTGGTGCCGTGTCACATATAGAATTTTTTTGATATTTGTAACCATAGTACAACAAAGACTTATATTTTTGATATTTATTTTATATATTTAAATGCCATTTAACAAAGAAAAATCCACCAAAAAAATGAGTTCGCGCGTCACCTCTGACACACGTGTCATAGGTTCGCCATCACTGGCCTAGGCAGACGCTTGAGTGATACCCATTCTCATTCCTCCCCTCTGGCCTCAGGACATCCCCGCCTTGACTTTCCCTCCCAAACCAAACAGGCACTCTCTTTGGAACAATGGTGGCTTGGCGTCATCCTGGCCCACCCAGTCCCCACCCTCTGGGTGCTGGTCCCGTTTGCTGACTGTCCTGACCACAGTGGGTTCCTCTGGAATTGCAACTGTTCTGGCTTTAGGGGAGGGACTGGGGCAGGGACGCAGGTGAGATTCTGGCACGGTCCTCCCCCCATTTACCTTTTCTCTCATGGACATCCCCTTCTGCATTTGCACAGTGGCTGTTTGCTAGCCAAATCTCCTTTTATTTCCATTCAGGTCCTGTCCTGTGTGCTCCATCCTCCACACCCCCTAATTAGAGTGTCATCATGTTCCATCTCTGACCCAGCCCTTCCTCTGTCCCTGTCTCAGATCTCAGTATCTTCAGATCTCATGCCTTTGGGACATTTCTGAGCATCCTCCTCCTCCTTCTTTCATGGATACTCAGATGGTCTATTTAACTGTCTTCGATGCCAGACTACCCTTCTGGAGGGCAGCCTCCTGTCTTATCATCTCTGTATTCACAAGACTCGGCACTGGGCCAGGCCCAGTGAACACACAATGTTTGCTAAACCAAATAGAAACCCCACATCTTCCTGATCCTTTTCCCATCTCTCCTCTGGTCCGCTGTCCTCCCTTTGGTCTGGAAGGACATTCCTTGCCCTCTTTGGGGCTTTCCTGTTTTGTTTTTGTTTTTTTTTTTTCCCCTAGGGATTCTCAGTCCCCTCTGTTTTTCCGTGGAGCCCAGCCCACAACCAAGGTTCCCTGGGATCCTTAGACCTGTTGGTCCCTGCTTCTCAGCCCAGCCTCCTGCCCAACTTGGTCCTTACCTTTCTTTGGTCCCGGAGCCTCTCTCCAGTCCCTGGTCTGGCCCCGTCTGCCTGAGGGCCTCCCAGAGGCAGCTTTTGATCTTTACTGCCCTGCTGGGTGGGGCTTTCTGAGCCAATGAGCCAAGGAGAGTGAGCGGGTGGGCAGGCAGGCTGGCGGACTTCCCCGGGCACATATTCAGAGCAAACACCTGTGGCTCTTTGCTCCTGGCCCACGCCTTCTCCAGCCTGGCTGGGCATGGCTGGGTCGAGCTACCTGGTCTGGCAGGTATGTGGGTGAGACTGCAGTGAGGGGCGGGGTTGGGGGGGCAATAGCCTGCCTGGTATCCTCATTCTCCCGGGCCAGCAATAATGGCATTGCTCCTGTCCACTTTTTGTTGCTTCATTGCCCCTTGTCCCCAGGCCTCTCTCCAGCCCCTGTCTGTAGGAGGCTGGTTCTGAAGTCCTCAGCAGCTGACATCTATGGAAAGGGGCAATCTTGATTCAGCATCCTACCCGGGTCGGGGCATTTTTAGGGACTAGAGCTTGGGCTGCTGGTAAGGCATGTAGGGGATGTGGGAGGGGCTGACTGTGTTCTAGTCGAGGGAACCCACTGCCCTGGTGGAGACAAGGAGTGCAGGTTGGCAGCATGACATACCCCAACTGTCAGTCCTCTGTGGCCAGGCCTCCGGGGAAGCCGGTGTGGGACCCAGTGGGACTGCAGAGGGCCCTCAGGGCAGTGAAGGTTAATGTGTAGCCAGGGAGGGGCTGGGCCTCATTTCCCACAAGCATTTATCCAGCGCACCCTAATCCCAATGATTAGCATTTATGTGGCCTTTTACAGCCGGCTAACCCCATGCACAACCATGAGCTCATCAGCCCACAGGTACGTTAACGCATTTGGAGAGGAGCCGAAGTCACTTTCCCAGAGTCCCGATGAAACCTGGGCTGGAATGCAAGCGTTCCGACTCAAGTCCTAAACTTCCGACGGCTCAACGCCGCTCCCCACATTCTAAGATGCATTCTCTCTGCAGGTCTAAACCTGCAGCGGAAGTTAAAGGCATGAGCAGGCAGCATGACCCCTAGGAGTGCTGGGCACCCTTTCTGGGGGGAGAGGATGGCCCCTCACCTGGCTGGACCAGGGGCAGAGAGAGGAACTAAATGACCCGATAAGGGTCACCAAGGCCGAGGAACCAAAGCACACCTTGAATCAGTGGAGGAGTGGACTTTTATTAAGCCCTGACCGCGGGCCCCACACATGAAAGTGGCTTGCACATCTGCTCTCTCATTAAACTCTTCCTCATAGCAACAACCCAACGAGGTGGCCTCATCGTCTCCATTTCACACAGAAGGAAACGGAAGTGCCCAAGGCCACACGGCTGGGGCAGGTGGCAGGAGCTTCCCACCGCGAAGGCTGCGCCCGTGACATGCTGGGCCCATCCTGCCAGCCCAGTGCAGGCAGCCCCTCACAGGATGGTTTTCTTCGCATAGTCTCGAGCGAGGTCTGGTAAGAGAGGAGGGTGAGTGTCTGAGCCCAGGAAGATGAGGTCCCCTGAGAGGAGGTCCTCCTGTTTGCAGGAAGAGGCGCCGGTGGCCCTGGCTTTCCTCGCTGCCAGGCACTCGCGGCACCTCTTGCTCACCAGGTAAGCCAGCTCCACCAGGTTGAGCAGGATGCACACGGCGGCCGTGGCGACCATGAAGAGGGTGAAGATGTTCTTCTCTGAGGGCTTGGAGATGAAGCAGTCCACTATGTTGGGACACGGATCCGCGTGGCACTTGACCACAGGAGGGAGGGTGTATCTGGGGTAGAACGAGTGGAACACGTAGAGGAAGATGATGTCTATGCCGGCCTTGAACACCAGGCTGAAGACGTACGTCCACCAGAGCCCACCCCGCTTCTTGCCGGGGTGCGGGTAGAGGCGCCCGCCGTCCTCCCCCACTGCCTCTCGGTGCTTTTTCTCCCGGGCCTCCCGGTAGGCCACGTGCATGACCACCAGCAGCGAGGGGCACGTGACCAGGATGAGCTGCAGGGCCCAGAGGCGCACGTGGGACACGGGGAAGAACTCGTCATAGCAGACGTTGGAGCAGCCCGGCTGGCGGGTGTTGCAGTCGAAATCCTTGTGGTCGTCACTCCACACACGCTCAGCCGTCACCACGTACACCATCACTCGGAAGATGAAGACCAGAGACAGCCAGATGCGCCCGAAGGCTGTGGAGTACTTGTTGACCCCACTTAGGAGCCCCTCGAAGATCCCCCAGTTCATGGTGGATCCAGACGTCGGCTGCTGCTGCTGCTGCTGCTGCAGGGAACGATACCACCAATCCCCCACATTTATCAAGTAGTCACTGTGAACACTTGAGAGAAACATGTCATGTAATCCTCACAGCCTCAGAGGAGCTAGGTTCTATCACTGAACCCATTTTACAGATGGAGGAAACTGAGGTTTAGAGGGGTTATACAAGGTTACACACAATTAGGTGCAGAGGTGGGATTTGAGCATAAGTAGTTAAGTGAAGAACCCAACTCTTATCTATAAAAGTGGGTGAAGGTGAGTCCAGGGAGCCCCTCAATCTCTCAGGGCCTGTGGCTCTGGTCTTGTAGGCCTGCAGAGCGAAGGCTTATGTAGGTGGGACATTCTGCCTTCTCCCCCTGTTCCAACCCTGGCCCTCCTCCCCAGGGGGGCTGAGCCTTGGGAAGACTTCTCTCCTTGCTGTGCCCTGCTCTCTCCTCTGAGGCAGCCCCTCCCAAGGGCAATCTGCTCTTTGCCTTTTACTTGACTTGGAGGATTACGTTGGAGAGGAGGCTGGAAACTTGTCCGCAAGCTCCCACCTGGTCTAACACTCAGTTAAATGATCCAGACAGTGTCCTGCTCAGGTGCAACTCACCTGAAGCAAGGCCAATGGCAATCCAGCTGAAAGACCTAAGGTAGGGGTTGATGGCTCTCTTTATACAATAAGCTTTCTCGAGTAGCCTGGTAATGCAGTGTTTACCAAACTAGTGTTCCATGGAACCCTATCCCATAGGCTGGCTATTGGAGTAGTGAGGGAAAAGGAACCTGTGTTCAAGAAAGGAAGGCAAACATTGCGTTCGGCAAAGTGAAATAGGCCCCTTTCCTTGACCAGGCTAATGGACTCACAGCATGAATCCCCCACAGGGGGACAGAATATACACTGAGTGGCCAGATTATTATGACCACCCCATCAGTACAATGAAGTGAATTAGTTATGCAAATAATAATAAAACCTTGAGAGTATTTGCTTAGGAAGTTTTCAATATTCAGTATTTTTGGAAGTGTCAATGAAGTACTGATGGGATGGTCATAATTATCTGGCCACTCAGTGTACAGTATTGTCCAGACTCCTTTGACCACAGAATCCATTGTCATCATCCTATGGAATAGCCTGTTGAGACACCAACATGGGAAATGCTGCTTTCGTTGCTCCTGCTGGCGAGTTTGGTGTGCTAGACACAGGAGTCAGATTTACCTCCTTGTAAGGAATGGGACTGCTGTTCAGAGTGAGGGGCACCCACTTTCCCTCTTGGAATTCTTCTGGCTGGTTCTTGCAGGGAGTGACCCAGGCACTCGTCCCACCCTGCCGGCCCCCAGGACCTAGCGAGCTTGTCCGCACAGCCTCTCTCTCTCTAAGAGGCTCCTGATGCCCTGCTGACTGCGGGTCCCGGCTGAAGGTCACCAGGCTGTCTGACCCCCAGGACCTGCAGCAGTCAAGCAGTGTAATGGTGAGAGCCAGTACTTATTGGGTGTTTATGCAGCGCTAGGCTCTGTTCTGAGCCCTTTGCATGAATCAATGCAGCAGCAACTGCAGGAAAGGTTATGATAACTTTTACTCCCAATTTCCGGATGAGGAAAGCGGAGCACAGAGACGTTAGTTAATTTGCTCAGTTATATAGCTGGTGAGCGGCAGAGCTGGGACGGGAACTCAGGCAGGCTGGCTCCAGGACCCACACTCTGGGGCTGGGCCCCTTTCCTGGAAAGCTGCCTGGGTGTCTGGTCTGTGCTCACTCCCTCCTACACCAGGGAGGTCCTGGCTGAGGGAGGCTGGGGTGTCCGCTCCCTACCCTCTCTCTCCACTGTCTGTCTCCACCACCCTTCACTGGGAAGTGGGGCCCCTGCCCTGACTCATCAGCTGGGCTTTGCTCAGTCCTGCTAAGGGGGTGGAACTCCTGGCAGCTTCTCAGGAGGCTCCAGCCCTGAGTCCCCAGGGGTTCGAGGCCCAGCCCACGTGGGGTGGGGCAGGGTAGGGCCATGCAGGCCCAGGCAGCGCTGCTCCACTTGCCCAGCTCCCGGTTTCCCTGTGAGCTCCTCTCCACTCAGCCCCTGCCTCCCACCTCTGCTCAGTTGGGAAAATCCCAGAGCAGAGCAGGGAGGAGCCCTTTATTTCTCCACCATCAGGACCCAGGGTGGCGGACGTGTCCAGGCCACCTTCCTCGACTACCTTCCTCGACTCCCCACCAGAGAGGTTTCCGTCCGCCAGGTGTACCAATGGACAGGGTCCATTTGGACACAGATGATCTTACCTGAGTGGCTACTCCTCAGGGCTCTCCGGGTCCTGGCTCCTGACAGCCAGCAGTGGACTCCGCAGGCAATCGGAATTCATGTCAGAACCAGAGAGGGTGCTTGGGGAAGCCCATTCCTGGGACCGAACCTGAGAGAGTGCTGCAGCCTGGGTGTGTCGCTGGCCTAGGAAGAGGAGGAGCTGCACTTAGCCAGGCCATTGGCTGAGCTCCACCTTCCCAGGCTGCCTCTGATGTGGCCCAGTATTCACTCCTCCCAGGGTGCTGAGCCCAGAATCCTGTCTTCCTCTCAGGAGAGACCCACAGGTCCACTCTGACCCCCTGCTTGTGCTCCCATCCCTGGCCTTGTGTGGGAGGAACCTAGAAATTTCTGAAATTCCCCTCTCTTACTTCTTGGTCTCCAGACTCTCGCTCTGATTGCTTCTCCATGGCCTTCTATTCTCACAGCTTCAGTTACCTTTGGAAATGCTGTGACTCCCAAATCTGTCTCCAGCCTGAATGCCTCTGCTCCACCAATTGCCCCCACTTGAATGCCCTTCTCTCACCTTTCTTTATAAAAATAAATAAATAAATATATTTTTATTGATTTCAGAGAAGAAGGGAGAGGGAGAGAGAGCTAGAAACATCAATGATAAGAATCATTGATTGGCTGCCTCCTGGGGATCGATCCTGCAACCCGGACATGTGCCCTTGACTGGAATCACATTTGGGACCCTTCAGTCTGCAGGCCAATGCTCTATCCACCGAGCCAAACCGGCTAGGGCCATGGTTGGCAAACCTCGGCTCGTGAGCCACATGCGGCTCTTTGGCCCCTTGAGTGTGGCTCTTCCACAAAATACCATGTGCGGGCGCACACTTACAGTGCGATTGAGACTTTGTGGCCCATGCGCAGAAGTCGGTATTTTGTGGAAGAGCCGGTATTTTGTGGAAGAGCCACATTCAAGGGGCCAAAGAGCCGCATATGGCTCGTGAGCCACGGTTTGCCGAGCTGCAGTTTGCCGACCACTGGGCTAGGGCATTCTCTCACCTAGCCTGCTCCTCCAAGAAGCCTTCCTTGATTGTGCCGTTCCAGGTGGCGTAGGGCCCCATCTCTGGGCTTCCATGGCCCTGAGCTTCCACATCATGGTCAGATTGTATTGGAGTAGCTGATCTTTTCTTATTTTTTTTAAATTTTTATTATTAAATCTTTATTGTTCAGATTATTACAGTTGTTCCTCTTTTTCCCCCCCATAGCTCCCCTCCACTTGGTTCCCACCCCACCCTCTGCCCTTACCCCCCCTCCACTGTCCTCATCCATAGGTGTACGCTTTTTGTCGCCGGGTCAAAGGTCATACACATGGAAAATGTAGCTATTTCCATCCGCAACGTGTCCCTGTGCTCAGAAAGGTCTCTCACGACTTGTTCACGCTCTACTCAGAAAGGGTATGGAGCCACCTAACGGCTTTTTAAAATAATGTATCCTCTTATGTTTAAAATGAGGATTTCGCTACCAAAAGTGAGGAGAAAGCACCACTATAGCTGCTCTCACCCCTCTCACCCTTCAGGTGATAGTTGTGCATGGGGCTGTGAGTTGGTTTGCGGGCCG